TTTAAAGCAGTTGTCAGGTCCGATTTGGTGTGAAACTATGCTGTTTGCAAAAGCAAAACTAGGTTAAGTGTGCTGTAGGCCTAAGTCTCCCTCAGAAAGCATTTTCCTTCCTGATGGTGTCTTTTCCACCTTAGAATAGAAAGGAGATGGTGAGGAATGAAAGGTAAGTAATGCCAGCTATACAAAAGCAATAGCTTTGCTTTTTTACCTTCGAAGGAAAACAAAGATTTGAAGAGCATTTCTCAGATGATAATACTGCCCAACACAGAATGATAAGCTGCTCCATTAATTAGTGAGTCCAGCTTTTGCTGGAGAGGGGGAGGGAGGGGAGGAAGAGGATCTGCCCTGTTGAATATCTGCAGTCAGTAATATCCTATTGCCTTTTTTTTTTTTTAATCCACACACATTGAAAGTGAAGGTACAGTTTTGTCTTACCATCAACAGCATGCAGAGAGGTAAGCGATTCTTCGCTTTTAGCTGAGCGAAGAGTTCCGCTGTCTCCTCGTCCACCTATGAAAATGCAACCAAGACAGGGAAAAGTTGAATTACAAACATGGCTTACATTTGGTTACGTAGTGGTGGCAGGAAGAAGCTGAATGGGCTTCTAGCATCAGTACTGCTGTTTTTAAAGTAACAGTTGTGCTTTTATTTTTTTTCTGTTCTCTTTTTATTCCAAAGTCCTTAAAGAAAGCCTTTACCCTGGTTGAGTGTTAATACGTTTTACCGTCTAAGATAGAAGTAGTCCTGTTTTGTGTGGGAGATTGGCCTGGATGATCTACAGAGGTCATTTCAGCCAATGATTGCATACTACTGGGCAAGAAGTGATTACAAAGACTGGGTTGATTTTTGACACTCATTTTACAGACTGGTGAAGAGTAACCTATGAAAATTAACCTACTGCAGGTGACAGGTTGGAAAACGGCTGCCTCCCATGCATGTCATGCCACTACAGACTCTGTCTGGATGTACCTGTGGTAACTGGTTGGTTCCTGACAGCAAATCCCTTAGAATGGGGAAGAAAGTAACATTTACACAGCTGGTTTTACAAGCACTAAACAAGTACAACTAAAATGCTCCAGGAAGACAGTCATATAATGTGTTTATTACCCTGAAGACTGAAGGTTATAATTTGAAAATGGCACCAGAGAAAAGATGGGACAAAGTCCTCACTGGTCCATATTTAGGAATTTGTGGTATGTTTCACTGCAAAAATATATAGTTGCTATTTTTAAAGAGACAGAAAATTATATATATATAAGGGTTGAGAAGTCAGAGACTACATAGAGGAGGCTACAAAAAGTTGTTGGATGTCTTCTTTCGCTTTCTGGGAGAATACATCTGTGGTAAAGTGCCTTTAAGCCTATTTTAAATGTATCATCCGAGAATAGCAAATGGAGCCAGAAATGTATTCTTATTTCATGATAGGAGTGTCAAGAAGGAAATATTCTGAGACTTTTTATAGTGGTGCCCATATAATGTCCTTCAAAAGCTACTCTGAGAAACACATTTAAGGGGTGTGCTCTAGCATGTCAAATTCATGAGCTAATGCGAGATCCCTTTAGGAAAGACAGCGGTTAACTCAGGATGTTATGCATGGCTTGAACACTAGAAGGAGATAAAAGCACACTGTAAACATGAATTCTGCATTGCCGAAAAATCTTGTTTTTTGAAGAATGGATTTACACCCTTACCTGCCAGGGCTATGGCTTTCATTTCTGAGGGCTCACTGGGATTGCGCTGTAGTTTGCGTTTGGACACAGAGGATGATTTTCCCAAGTTGAAGAAGGAACGCCAACTGCCAACTGGCGATTTCTTCATCTTATTGGGTGGTCTTTTTCTGAAGTGAGAACAGCAAATCGTGTATGTCAGGGTGATAGGAAATTGCATTTAGCTCTTGCTAACAGTTGTTTGTTATTAACAATACCTTGTTTCTGCTGAAAGACAGCTTAGAAACGCGGTCTCTTTTAAATAGTTGAGGATGTTTTCATTCTTATAGCTCAGCCCTAAAGTTTGGGTGCTGGGTAAATTCCAGCAAACTATGCAAAGCAGATGCAATGCAGGTGAGCAAAGGCTCCATACTTGTACAACATGGCATCAAAGTAATGTTTTTTATTTAGCTGGTTGGTATAGCTGTTCTCTGAGGAACTGTGTAGTCACAAAAGGTATTAAAGAGCCTCTCTTATGCTGTAAAATCATGCTTGCCTCCTCCCACTGCCATGTTTAATTTCTAGCACCATCAAGTCTGTCCAACAGCTCCACTTTGAGGACAACCGAAGTTTGTTTCAGGCATGTGGTCCTGAAATCTGGAAAACCCCAGTGTTTCTAGGTATTCACCCTGTTCACATTTCTGTGTCTGTGGCTAGTACGGGCATGGATATGCATCGGTATGGCTCTTACATTTAGTGATAGCCCTGTGAAAAGGAAGAAATGGCACAGAAGTTGCAGGGCTAACCTAAACCCATCAGACATTTGTATGTTAGTTGAATCCTCACGAAGTCCAAAGCGGGTGGAAAATTGGCTACAATACTTTATGCATGATTACTATAAGTCAGTTTCAACAAGTTTTTGATGTAATCAAAATAAATCAGTTATGACACATGCTGGAAAGGAAACTCCTCTCTACCTTTCAGATGGAAAGTCTATGACCGTGTGGAATTTCCCTTGTAGAGCTGCTGGGCCTTCTCCCACTTCAATGTATCTGCTGTCTGCTACGATGGGAGAGTTGATCTGGGCTTGTGTCCGTGCCTGTGCCTCCTCCAGTGTGAGCAGCTTTGTGGAAGGAGAGGACACCAGCAGAGACTTGGGCCGTGATAAAGAACTGTGCCCTGAAAGGGAAAACCAGGAACAAGAGGGGGAATCAGAAAACAGCAGTACAGACATCAAAGTTCTGGGGGAACTGTTGTGTTTTTCTAAGATCTTGTTGTTCTAGCCCCTGAAAGATGTGGTCAAAATAACCATTTTGTCAGAGGTATGTTTATGAGAAAGGAAATACTTTTAATTGAGAGCAGCTTACCGTATTTAAACAAACAAACAAAAAACAAAACAAGAATGGTGATGGGCAGGGAAGCAAGCAGGTTAGAAACCTTCAGTGTTGACATACTTTAATTAAGCTTCATCTGCATGCTGAACTCCATAACGATAGTGACAGCTTTCTTCTTACAAAGTTTGTTTTTAGTTATTCCCAGATTCCAGCAACAGGAAATGCCATGTGTGACTTCAGCTGCTACAGACTTATGTGCAGGTGGACACAGTGAACTGAATCTAGCTGTGTGTTTTGCTCTCAGTCTTTTTACAGCTTGTTTTTGGTTTTGGAAATAAAAATTTGAACTTTTACAAAAGTAGTTGATGTTGCTTCCGGCTGCTAGGATCTGTTAAGCCAGTTTGTGATGTGGAGGAGTGCTACAGAGGAGCACAGGGGAGTCTGCTGTAAGAGCTGTCTTTCATTTGCCATTGTTTATCGTGCAATTATTTATATGGTTATCCTCACATGAGTAAGAGGTGTGGGAGGGAAGTATATCATCCCTTCACATCAGCATCCTGGTTGGACCCATTCCTACTACTATTCCTTTAGCTTCACAGCTCCTTGGTAGTGTGCACTTTACCCAGTTTGTTAGCTGTAAATGCTACCCTGGGTGAAGTTTGGGCCAAACAGGTACATAGAGCTCCATCTGCCTTCAAACTGGACTTCCCTGGAATGTCTTAAAGCAGGCTTGGGAATACCACTTTAACTCTTGTAGGCTGGTACAGATACGATGCTGTGCTCAAAGAGGGGCTCCTGGAAACACTGAAGAGAATGCTGCCTTGCTGTGGCACAGTATTCCTGAGCATAGCTGGTACGCTGTGAAACAGCCTGACCCTTTCCCCCCTAGTTTTGTGGCAAAGTACACAATGTGAATGCCCAAGTCATTAAACAATTAGCCGAATTTATATGCTCTGTTCTAAGCCTGGATAATCATTTGGCTCGGATTCTTAGCATGTTCATCTTCCCCTGGCAGAGCTCAGCCTGCTATGGGCTGTTAGCCAAGCTAAGCTCTGGATCCTACTGACGTAAAAATTGTCTTCCAGTAGGAATAAAAGCTGGACTTACAAAAACTGTGCTGTCCTAAGTAGAATCACAGAATCATAGAATAGTTTGGGTTGGAAGGGACCTTGAAGTTCCTCTAATTCCAACCCCCTGCCATGGGCAGGGACACCTTCCACCAGATCAGGTTGACTTTCTGGGCTGCCAAGTAGAGGTAGGGCTTGTACAAAAATGGGGAGCAGCAACCATTCTGGAACAGCAGCTACCTGTACTCGTGGTAAAGTAACTGCACTGACTGTACAAATTTCATTGGAAGGGCAGGTTATCAAAGCAGATGGAACAGACCTAATGCTGCTTTGGAATAGTAATAGGTTGTGCTCTCATTTATTCTTCTAACACACAGAATGGTACAACTCCATTTGTTTCCAATGGAACAGGTACACTTAAGGTCTTAGCAGTTACTTGAGCAAATCTGTACACTCCAGGGAGAAATGACGCTTCAGATGCTCCAGGGTCGGGCACAAACATGTCACAGTTCATTTCTCATCCTAAAGCCACAAATCTGCAATGTAATTAGGGAACTGTGCAACAGTTGTAGGGCCAATGCAGTCTTTGCCATGTTAACCTATATAGACTATACTAATTAACCTATATAGACTATGCAGAAGAAATAACCAGGATAGCAGGTGTCAAAATATTTCACATTAAGAGCAAGACTTTTGTTTCTTAATGTCAATGCTAATGAATACCAAGAACTTTCTTTAAATCTGCTGATTGATCCTTTAAATCAGCTTATTGAAGAGCATCCTTGGCTTCTAGGAAAGGTACTGATAGCAATTTCAAAAACGAGGCCATATTTGCCAGGTTCTAGTATCATAACCCTGTAAATCTGTGCTCTCACTGATAGTAAAAACATATTTCAAAAGTCCTGGAAGAGGCTCAGATTTTCATTAAGCGTCTGTTGCTGTTTTTGATCAAGGTAAAGCTAACGGAGGAAGTCACGCACCTGCTCCATCTCGTATGACTGAGCTGAGTTTGGAACTGAAGAGGACGTCCACATGATTCAAGATGAATTCCACAACTACTGACTGGATTCGCACCTCCATGAAAGCAGCTGTTCCACTGAAGCAGGCAGACTCGATCTGCTTTGATCTGAAGAAAAGGAAGATTAAATAAAATGCAAACAGCCAGAAGACTGTGAAAAAGATATGCTCCCCTTGGTAAGGCTTTGTCACATGTTGAACTACTGTGCCACACTGCTTGGGCAGACAGGACTTTAGGGGCAGTTAAGAGATAAATCTCATCAAAGCATTATACGAATGGTCATATTGACTGCAGTGATTTACATCCAGCTTTTGGTTTCAGGCTGGAGTCCTACTGAAACAGGCAAGAGGAACAATGGGTCAAGAAGGAAAGAAAGCACGTGGCAGGTCCAGATTGAGGTAAGCATTGCATATACGAAGTGGGGAACTTTCCTTTAACTTCTTTCTAGAAACAGTGTATGGCAGCAGTTTAATGCTGTGACACTGTAGAAAGCTCAGCATGGTCTTCTGCATCATTTTTCCTCTAGCAGGGAATGTCTCCAACTGGTCCTGCCCAGCAAGTACCCCAATATTCACAACAGCAAACTCAAACAAGAAATCTTTTGACTGCTTGTGGGTGAATTGCCATAAAGGAGAAAATAGCTTTCCCTCATTAACTGCACACAGGGGAATCTCTGACTCGGATTTCTCAGGTTGGTAGCAAAGCAGTCCAGAAATCAATTCAATAGAAGCCAGGGTGATTTTTTTGTCTTTGTTTTAAAGCACAATTTTTTAAATTACACCATTAATTATAAAATACCCTATTAGGCACATTCAAAACAAGTTTTAGGAGACATTTATCCAAGATCATTTCCATAAGTCTGAATTTTTGCAGCCAAAAGCTGTCAAATTAGACTCCGGAGATTTCTGCAGTGGGAAATCAGTGATGCCACTAAACACATTTTCCTGGATGATCAAGGACACACTAGTCTCATCTAACCAGGAGAGGAGAAATTATCATCTAGAAAGAGTTCTGGGGGTGAGAACACACTATGCTCATTCCTTGACACTGCTGAACTGTGGTCAGTGGAGTTGCAGTGCAGAGAGAGAGAGCAATACTGGGGTATTCTCTCACAGTGTGTCAACACAGTTCCACTGACAACAGCAGAGCTATTAACATCACTTTCAGAAGCTTGCCAGCTGGTCTCAACCCCCTGCTCAGAATAATTTCCTATTAGAAATTTTACAGGAGAAGAGCACATTGGATGGAAAAAAAGGAAAATCTTTTTCTAGGCTGCTGAAAGTTATGATTTTCTGGGCAACTGATATCTATCTTTTATTTGTATAAATACAAAAACTTACATAAGCCTTGTATTTGAATGGGAAAAAAAAAAGTTACCTTAAGAGGTTTGGAGCCCAGACAATTGCCAAGTTCTTAGCGTGCATATTTGTAACAGAGCAGTAATCAGCTAGACGAGCTAAGTGTCTCATTAAGAACTCCAGTGTCCTGGAAAACAAGAGATAGGCAAATGTTCAGCACCAATGAGCAAGCCATGCTGCAAGTTACAAAACAAACCCTAGTTCATTATCTTCTTTCGCTTTGGGTGCTCACAAAAAAAAAAAAGTTGAAGTGTATGGTAAGAAGGATGGTAAAGTTGTCTTTAGCAAATAATTACATAGGGGTGGGGTAAGAGGGAGTCTCTCCTGAATTGTTCTGAGTAAAGGAAAAGACTGCCCAAGCACCTGTTGTCAGCCAAGTGACTGGACCCAGCAAAGACTGACGTGGATGGGAATATGCTAAATGCCACCAGCACAGCAGGATCTAGAAGCAGAGCACCCTGGAGCTTCATAGCTCGTGGTGGTTTTATTATAGCATTGTGAAACAGAAATACAGCCCTTACACTGTATTTGGGTCATAGCACAATGCTCATCTGAGAGTTAGAAGAAAGGACTTTGAATATAAACCTCCTGGTAAACAGAAGACTATTTATTTACACAGCCCAGGATTTTGAAAACCAGCAAATTTTATCTGAATTCTACTTAGGAAATGAGTGCTTCCAGCTTTCTTATACACATATAAGAGATACACAGCAGATACAAGGTTAAGCTTCACAGGACTTCTGATCAAGGTAAAAATAAAAGATTGTGTTTTAGATCAAACGCTGCTGCTACCATGACATGGGGAAGAGGAGGAAGGGCCCAGCTCCATTCCTTCCAGCCAGTGCAGGGGGTGGCAATGTGAACGCTGCTGCCACCTCCTCCATGCTGGCGCTCAGCAGCAGCCTGGCTGGCACCCGTCTCTCTGTGCCCCCTTCACCATATGGCAGCAGAGGCCCAAAACTTCTCAGGCAGGAAGGGCGTGAAGCTCAGATGGGTGTTTCTGGGTGGACACAAAGCAGGCATCTCCAGCAACCTGCACGGCCCTGCTGCACCTCAAACACTGCCTACCCGCATGCAAATTCTCACGGAACGGAGCAGAACAACGAAGTGTCTTTCTGTCCTTCTTCAAGCAACCCTGAGGAACTGAGGTGAGCCAAGGCAGAGCCCAGCAGTGCAGCAGCAGCAGGGGGAGTGAGAGCCACACAGCTGCTGGCTGGGTTGCTGTGCTGCTGCCTGTCCTGGGCACAGGCATCCCTAAGGGATGTGCACTGGGATCCCCTGAGAGCCGTTTCAGGGAGAAGGTGGAATGCACCAGAGAAAACTTGACAAAGGAGTTTTTGTTTTTGATACAGTCTTCAAGGCCCTGCTCCCTTAATTAACACAAATAAATTATTATAATTAGTTTTAAATGCGAAGTAATTACCAATACTTAGTATTAAGTCCCACAAGTTAGTCAATGCTGTTTAATTACCTATGACCATACCTTATAATCAAAGCTAAGTACAATACAGTGGTTATTGATATTTAATAATGGATAGCATAAATTATATAGTCCCATTATAATCAAATGATAATCACCATACACAATAATAATTCTTCTAATATTGGTTGATATGCATTATAATTAGTTGTCAATACCAATCACCATATACTGTTATATTTATTTAAGAATGCCATACAATAGTTATTAATATTTAAATAGTAATGTATTATTTTATTTATACCAATCAATACATTGTCATTGGTCCAGGCTAATTGCAGTAATTATTAATATCATTTAAATAGTCATTAATATTATTTCTGGTATTAATACCAATCACCATACTTCGTAGTATGAAGACATTTACCATACACTGCAATAGTTATTAATACTGGTTAAATGAACATTAATATATATAATATGATGATTAAAGACTAACTGTCGTGCACAACAAAATAGTTATGAATACTAATTAGTGTGTCTTAATATAATGCATATCATTTAGCATGTACTATTCTAATAAGTTTGTACTGTTTAAATAATCAACACAGTATAGTTATTATTTCCAAAAGATCACTGTTAGCATTTGCTAGTTACTATTATTGCTATTATAGTTAAATATTAAATAGATAAAATGTTACTAAGAATTGCCTTGCCATAATGCAAGCAACCACTCCAGAATACAACACGATCCCATCCATCATCCAAGCTGCCCCACCGTGCTCGTATGTCTTGCTGCTGCTCCTTATGTACTGACATATTCAGCACTGGCCTGCAGCTAAAAGCTATTTGGGGCAGGGGGAGGATGCTTACAGCCAAAATACATTTGAACAACTTAAACCACAGTCCTGAAGCAATTTTTTGGTGTTCACATTTCACTGTCTTTACTGCTATTCCTAGAGAGGGTATTGTGCCCCCTCAGTAAGAACATTTCCTTAATGATATCAGCCACTTGTGCCATAACGAGCTTGTATTTGCCTCCTATACATACTTTCCAGAGGAAGTCAAATAAGACGATATAAAGTATATGGTGTTTGTCTGGTAATGATCTAATTATAATATAAATCAACTTTATGTAGCCATAAACCATTTTAATATATACAGGCACAATGCAGCTATCTTGAGAGGAATCGCACCATTACACTCTTGAAATGCCAGCAATGCTGAGCTATAAACAGACTGAAGGCTGTACTAACCTGTAGTGAGGTGGGGGGAGCTGCTGGATGACATCATGGATTTTAACCAACCGTTCTTCATCTGTAGCAGCGGAGACAGCATCCTGGAATAGCACAGTAAATGACTGAGATACGAACAAGGCCAGATACCTGACGCAGGGTCTTGAACTAAGTGGACAGTGCACTATTCTCTAGTGCTGAGAATTTGTTGAGCCTCTCGATCTTCCAAGAGGCATCCGTCTCTGGGGACAGACTGGCACACAGCTCAATGCAATAAAGGGCAAGTAAATCAAGCTCTGGGCCAGTTTATAGCTTGATTGTACAGCGCCATTCCTTGCAGTGGGCATTCAGTTCCAAGTAGCATTTGCTTCTAATCCCATTCCTGTTAGATAAATCGCCAGGGAATGGCAGAAGATAGGGGAATTCTTGCAAGCACTGTTAATACCCTAATAACCTTCACTGGGGCCCCCGGAGTGGCATCAATAGGGCACAGGATGTGACACAAAGGCACAAGTGAGTAAACCGAATGGGGCAACAAGACAAAGGCTCCCAAACCTGGGGCCTTGTTGCACCCACCTTTTGAAGGGGCAGGATGTTAACAGCAGGTGGGCATTTGGTGTGCAGCATGAGCTGTATTGGTGTTAGGCTGGTGGTTTTACAGACACACACTTTGGGCCTCTATAAAAACACCAGCCTAAAACAGAATTAAGGCAAAGGAAGGTGCGTAGATGTGCAGATAACAGGTCATGCTGTGAGGTAAGTGGAAGACGTTGCCTTGTACTCACAGAGAACTTGTCGTAGAGCTGGTATGTCAGCAGGGGGTTCGGGAGCTCCCGAAAGTACAGTTTGCAGAGGGAACCCACAGAGTGAATGTCCTGGACGTATGTATCCTTAGTTAGGTCAGGAATCTGCTCAGAGTCAAACTCATGGCTGGAGATGAATACACAAAAGTAGGGTAGAGGGAGGTTGGCAAAGAAGAAAGAAAATAAAAAACAACACAAATTACAGTCAAGCAAAGCAAGGGTTTCCTGATTTACGGGATAAAACAATTACTTAGTCACCAAAGCCCCCCGAGCCATGCTGGTGCTGCTACTAGATTGTTTTTTTTCCAAAATGAGACTTTTTTTTGGTATGGCCTTTTTCAGTTAGTTCATAATCTAAGCCTACAATTTAATCTACAATCACTTTTCCTGTAACAGAGCCCTTCACAAAATCTCCAGAGCATGTTTTCCAAGACCACGGAGGCAATCTGACTGTTCAGCTCCCAAGGACTGTGACAGGGAGCTGCCTGGAGGAAGAGTCCCCACAGGTCAGAATGAAAGCTGCTGTCCCTTTGCATTTCAGAGGCCTGGAAACTGAAATGATAAAGCAATGCTGAACGGCAGCACCGCTGGCACTGCTGCACATGGAAACTACTGTGTGCAGAAATTCCTTGGGTCCAAGCTGGTGAGCTGAGCACGCCTCTGCTATGGGGCGAAGAGAGCCAGCAACCACATGAAGACAAACCCTGAGCATTCCCTTGGTTTTCAGAGAGAGGAAAACCAAAAGCACAAACATCTATGAAATAAAAGCTGAGCTTAGAAGGCCAAGAGCTGGCTCGCTGCTCGGATATGTGCATGGAGATTGCTGTTTCAAATTAGCAGGCCAGATCTGCAGGGGCTGGCATGGCCACAGGGAGCTGCGAGAACATGGCTGCTTTAGCTGGAGCTCAGTTTCCCTGCCATCGTCGTTAAGCTGTAAACCCAGCAACTTATCATCAATGCGGGGAGTCACCCTGTCTGCACTACAACCACAGCAATGGCAGGGACTTAGTGGCAACAGCTCCGGCCTCCCTCCAGTCCAAGCCAGGCAATTTGTAACACAGAAGATAAAACACGACTTAGGCACAGGTCAAACGCCAAGCTTGCCCCTCTCTGCTACAGGATGGAACCAGTCTGTATCCATGTCCAAGCAACCAGGCGTATTTGTAACCTCAGTGACCAAGTGTTCGTCCCTTACGATACAAGGAAGGAGCTCCTTTCGCCTAGACATGAAGCTGTGTGAGGGAAGCCAGTTCACTGTGCCAGTGAGAAGGGGAAGAGGGGTCGACTTCTTCAGACAAGAAGGTGAACATCTGCCCCAGCTCCTCATCCCAAAGGCAGCACAGAGAAGGAAATAAAGGTTTCTGTTTTCCCCAACCGATGGATTCCCTGTAGCCACACTCCTCAGCGCTCTGTACGCAGCTCCCACAGGCACGTTCTGACTCATCCCTTACTCACATTTGGAAGACAAACTTGTTTCCTGCACTTGGCTCCGCAGAAGAAGAGAGAGCTCAGAAGAACCATCAGGGAAAGGCACCAACCCGCCCAAACAAACAAACCGAGCCTTGGCGGACACTCTCTGACCATCTCCTGCCCTACCCCAGCACTCCTGCTGCTCCAGCACAACTTCCCAAGGAAGAAATCCCATGCCATGGTAGAGACCTACCCCTGCAGAAGCAGAATATGGAGTGAAGAAAGGGAAACCTTACAGGCAGTCTTCTTTCTCTGACTATATAGAGAACAACTTATTTCTTTTGACCCCCAAAGGTAGATTTTTTAGCGGAAGAATACAACTTCACAGCATCTCAAAAAAAGCCAGAGCCAAGTACAGGGATGCCCATGCCAACCTGACACTCACTCCAGTTCATCTACCATCCAAATAAAGGCAGCTACTGTGCTACTAAAGAGCCAGCCTCTGTCCTGGAGTGAATCTCTCACGTGGAATAAAATTCTCTTAACTTTCTGTCCAACCAAAAGAAAAAAAACAACCACCTTTAAAAACGGGAAATTCAATTCTTCTAATAGAAACTTAACGACAATTGCTCATTTATAAGGGCACTGCAGAGCTAATTTTGAAATAAGCTTAATGATCTGTTTATATAGCTGGAAACTGCAGCAATGCAACATGTCCTACATTAATCAAACACTTATGAAAAATCTGTCATGAAATTTGACAGGGATAGTGTCTACAAGTTATGCCGTGTACTTTCAGAAAATTGAAAAGTAGGCTATCGTTTCGTTCTCTGTACTGTACCAGGGTATTATGCAACTGAAGTTTTAGAAAAACATTTTAAAGCACCTTTGGAATACATCAAAAGAGAATATGGTTATAAAAGATGAACTAGGGCAGTGATTAGAAGATGGTCCAGCACAAGTCAGAATGGGGAATTAAAGGGATATAACTGAAGCAAGGGCAAACATTTTATTCAGCCGACTCTGCTCTGGACAGCAGCTACAATCAGAGTCTTTGGAGCCTGCATATCAAAGGCTCAGGGAGTAGATTTTTGAAATTGAACTTGCTGTGATGAAAAACAGGATTAAGCTGAACCAGAATAAGCCCATCCATACAAGGGTTTGTACAGTAACTGTACTGGCTCAAACCCGTCCATTTAACTTGGGAATAGC